GTGAGTCTGTTTATGCCGGGAGAGATTCGAAGAAGTAGCGTATGATTTACCACATTCGGCACAAACATACCGACTTCGACCACCACTGGAGCCTTCAGCGCCTCTGTGGCGGCGATCTGCCTGAGCAACGCTAACATCTTCAATACAATTCCCATTTTCATCAACATTCACTTCTTTGGCATCTCCTTCGGCGATTCCATTCGTTTTTCTACCGTTTTCACGGCGTTTCAACTTGTTATGTTGCGGGGGCTGTGAGGTCGATGCCTTTCCCAACTCGCTTGTGGCTCCTAAAAAGGTAAGCGAGCGAAAAAAACCCAACAGGTGTTACCCATGAGAATACAATCAACAAATTTCTCTGCCAGGCCACGGCGCAAAACGAAACATAAAAATAAAATTCAAAAGTTTACAACAAATTTTTTTGACAAAAATATAAATTGCCACCGTAATTAGGATATTTTTGAAACCAGGAAAAAAACTTGTCGTTTGGGCTCACCTTCGGTAACTGTCGGGTGTTCTTGGAAGTCGCCGTTTGAGGACAGGTTTCCATATTCTTTTCCCTTCTTAATCAAGAACGATTTTGGCATTTTTCAGTAGTTTGGTTCCCTGACAACAGCAACACGTCTTGCTAAAGCGAAACTTGCCATTCTCAAGGAAAGATGCGAACCATTCCCCACACCACCACAACATAATAAATCGAGATAATTCTTGTCTGGGAAATTCATCTCGCGCCCATCCGTCAACAGAAGCTATTAACAATGTTTCACGGCCCACATGTTCCTATAGAATTCTCACAAATCCAACCGGAAACCGCGGGTCGATGCTCATTCAAATCCGACTCCCACACCAAGGCTTCGGGCTCAAAACGCGAATCCTAATGGCTGCACAGTCGAGCCTCTCTCGAATAAAGCACAGTTTCTAATCATTTCCGATAATAAGAGAAAGCAAGGAGGGATATAGACACTCAAGAAGAGGCCTCCGGCCCATTAGCAAGACATTTCGGCTATTATTCAGGGTGTTTAGTAGGCGGGGTTTGCTGTGGAACAGAGAAACTCGAGCCGAATGAGATACTCAGGCGACGAGATCTCTAGGCTTGTTGTTGGGCCACCTGTTGCCAGGCCACTCATCTGCATACAAAATATTACAAATAATTCATGCGAGTTAATATGCATGAGCTATCGCTGGAGACCGGAGTTTTGGCGGTAAATGCGGCCTGACGGACACGAAAGCGCGCCAAACACGACCAAACGCCACCTGATTGGCTATGCCGCTCACACTCGAACGTGATTGGTTGACATTTTCATCACAGGAAGCTTCATTAGCGAGATTTCCGAGTCCATATTATCAACCACTTTTGCTGATTTAGTTGTAGGGATTCAAACAATATTCCCATCTTTTTCAATATCATACATATTTTTGGAGTCTTATCTCTGCAATCACGAAAACACGAATGTATGTTAAATGCATTTGCACTTTCTCAATTCTGTTGTATCGATGAAGAGATATTCCTCGATCACAGAATAAATGTATATTTTCTTTAAATTTTTTTTCCTGTCGACACGTTATTATCTCCTTCAAAAAATTAAACGCACGAACACTTCTATTTCTGATTTAAAAATTGGTTTCATATTTAAAGTAGGATAAAAAGAGCTAAAGTTTGGAGAGCTTTCGTTTGGTGAATGAAATACTTTTAATATAAATTAGGATTCAAATCAGAATTTAAACCAAGCAAAGGTTTCATTGAAGTCGTCTTTAAATCGACCGCGAAGAAATTACATGGAAAAAAAATATACTAAAATGAGGTTTTATCTTTGTTGACATCCGGGCCGCGAATCAAACTACTATAATTTACCCCGAAACAAGATTTATTTACACTCTTATTTACGATAAAATCCCACGCCACAGATTGTTCTTAAAAACAGTTGTGGTTTTTATGACGTAAAAAAAACCATCAGTTTACCACGGGTCAAATCCATTAAATCAAGCCTGTTGAATGTTATTTCCGAAAGAGAAAAAAAATCTGCTGATCATTATTCACAGCAATACAAAAAAAAAATTGAAACTTTTCGTGACTTTGTTTACAACGAAGAGATGTAACAAGGAAAATTATGCATGTCAAGTTGAACAAATTACGTTGTTGTCATTCAAACTCGACCTAAGCAATCCATAATCTAACCGATATAACTTCGAAAATATTTAAAAACAACTTTAAGAGGAGAGAGAGGCCAAACGGGCAAAATATCTAAAAATAATTTTCTCTCACCCTGGGCTAGGTTTTTCTTTTTCTGTTTTCCTTCTCCTTGATTTGATGTTTCCCGTATAAATCATGGATATTACAGCACTACCACATTAGGTACAATTCCGCTTAAAACACATTTTTACCTAAGCATTACATGTTCGCATCGAAAGCATCATCGAAAATCGAATTTTAGCGAAGTTGAGCATACAACGATAGTTTCCCTGTCAGACAACAACAGAAACAGTGAAGGCCTTAGAGACAAATTTTTATAAAAATAGTGCGTTGTATTTCCAAGGAACGTATTATTTGAAGCAAACTAAGGCTAACGACCTGATAAATGTCTTAAAGAAATGTGACAGGAAAGCATTTTCTGCTGGGCTTAAAAGGTTCTCTTTCGCCCCTAACGTCTCTCTAATTTTGCTCAATTACGAAAGCATCGAATAGCGAGAAAGGTAAACCACAAGCTTAATTGACAACCACAAATACACTTTTCTGACATAAAATTAGAAACACAAAGAATATGTACGATTATTAATTTTAGTGCACGCTTAAACTGGGAAGAGCGGAAAGGCTTTAACAGAAAATCCTGCTACATTCTTATCATTATAATATTTGAGATTCCCTTAATCAAGGCATTTTTGCTCGATACACCTCAAGCTTAGCTTTAATGTACATTCGATCTATTCCAAGTATAAATTTTCATTTCCGACAAGTTTCAGGCCACAAAAAAAAAACAAATTAGAGGATTTTTCTGAATGAGAAGTTGTCATGGGAACAAGTCAAGCGCGAAATAATTTAGACGCCAGTTCTGACAACAGCTTCATGGGGTTTACATCAGGGACAGAGTCGGTAACCAATACTCTTTCTCTGGATGAATCGATAACTCATGCAGTTAAAAGCCATTTGCCTCATAGTGTGTTGAAAAGTCTTGTTTTCAAGCCCTTTTCTGACGTCATACCAGCCTAGCAGTTTACCGCGTAGTATTACGATGGTTTCCTTGAAATCATCAACTGTCATCATTGACTTAGCTACAAACCAATCACCACAGGAAAAATATACCTTAAAATCATTCAATATTGCTGATAAACTCAGTAAAACAAAATTCTCATCACGAGAGAAAATTATTGTAAGTAATAAAATTAATCGAACTGCTCTAAGGGGCGACATAACCCAAACATTTCAAATAATGAACATCGCCCGAAGCCAATAAGGTTGAAACAGAGGAATGGCTTTAAATAAATATCGCTAACTGTCTTCCACTGATTATTCGACGGAAGATAGCACACAATGATTTGTAACAACTGCATTTTTGAATAATTCATTTAGTGCTACGCAAACAAGTCTTCAACTTCAAGTAGATGTAAGGTGATTCACTCAAATCATGTCATCGTCCATCATCCGGCGATGAGAAAAACATGCCATTAAAACCAGACGCCAAATTTCTTTTTTTTTAATTCATCGAGAAAAAAGGCTCCGGCGATATTTTTATATTTAATATAGTCAAACAATCTCAGGCTGGGAAGATGCAAGGTTTAAAGGACATCAATTAAGTTCTGCCAGAAAACTTGAGGTTTAGTTCAAGAAGCATTCTAATAATTTATAATTATCATATGAGAATTTTCCCACTGATCACCATTCAAATGATTTCCCTGCTGCAATAAACTCTGTAATCACGAGTCTGCTGTTATCTTTTTCTTCTAAACTTCCTTTGTTTAATTTTTTTTTTTTTTTCAATTACTGTTCTTTTTTTATTTTCCAGGCCCAAATTCGGACCATAGAGGAATATTCAGCCTTGAAAGAAAACAAAATTGCACCCTGCAACTCAAACAGCACCTGCCAGTGTAGCTTCAGCAGGTCGACAATCAATGTTTCGCTAAAAGTGAGCGGGGCTGTCGTCTGTCCGTTACAATCACCGCTGGAATATTACAGACATAACAAAAGTTACATCTTTCTATCTAGGGATGAATTAGTTTGTGTACTATGCCTCACAAACTTTTTTTCTCCCGTGTCTCTATCGTGTCTTTCTATCCACGCGCGTTCTATTCCAACGATTTATCAAGCGACATCATGTAACAGCCAAGTTATAGGCAAGTAATAAATGTTCATCACCTGAAATTAACGACAGCCACCCGTTTATATTTACTCATTCGCCTGTCGTTGGTGGTCGATACTGTGTGCATTTACAACTTCCTTTAAAAAGTTCTTCAAAAGACGAAAAAAAGTCAGCTGCCATAGCTGACGCGACCCATCAGATCGCCACCTCGAGGAAAAGAGGGATCTGAGTCCTAACTAATGGGATAAATGGACTGCAGTATTAGAAACAGCAACGTCCAACCATCAGTGCAGCGTGCTTGATCTGTTATTCACAGATCTGATATTCTAAGGATATTTAACGTTTTTGCCATATGTTGAGAACGACAAACGAAAATTATGATTGGAATCCGGAAACTTTAATGCTGATGTTTGTATTACTGAACCTCAGGAGTACCAACACCACATATTTTCCTCAAACCTTATTCAGTTGGTGATAAGTAAGATTAGAAGAGTGCCTTCCAAGAAATGAAGACAGTGAGCCAAGGTAACCTTAAACTTCCTTCTACTTGAGGACGGCTCAAAACCGTGCTTTTATTTTGCCGGTAAAAATACAGTTAACGTATTTTTGTATATTAGAAAAGAAAAAAAAATAAATAACAGGAAAGTTTGCGTGCAGCTTTAAAAGATCCTCGTGGGAAGGAGAATGGTTTGAACTACTATTCTTCAAGTCAACAACTGCTTTACAATTTAATTAAAACAGAAGATCTGTTCATTTATGGAAAATGTTTTGAACATTTAGAAGATATTGTTGTATTTTATGTCCCAGTTTAATGGTGAAACGTAGACTCGCAGACAGGAATACTTTGCAAAATCGTAAGTTCACACTGGAATTGTAACTTCAAGAAATTGTTACAGTCGAGAAACCGACTTGCTGCGTTTGGATATGCGAACGCTTCTGTAAGCTCACAAGTCGAGACGTGTACAACTGGGCCAAACTAAGAGCCTCGATCACCGAATGCATAGTTCAGCGGTTTTAAAATCGATCGATAAGCGACAGGATTCTCTTCTTTTCAGCTTCTCGACTCTCCTTGCTCTTGGCATCTCCCACACTCGCAGCATATTCTGGTTAAACATAAATAAAAAAATAAAACCGAAGTCGGATTTTGACCAAACACCACCCAGGCGATTTCCCGAACGCGTTAAAATGAACTTTTTCAACCCTCAAGATCCGATCAGTGGTCTTCCTTCTAGCTGCTCTACAGATACAAGCTGATGCTTGATTTGCTCCCAGATCATTGACATTTGGCTAGATGTGGTACATTTTTCTGCAGCGTTTTATTCGCGGGAATTTTTCATCTTCTGCAAGGGCTTATCCTTGTGAATCCAGGGTCAACCGCAAATGCCGCAAAATTAAAACCCGCTCAGCGATTCGTGACAATTTTCTGCATTATTACCTTTTATAATTTTTGAGCCTTAGCCAAGAAAACGATTGTTCGCAGACGGAAATTTAAAGGGCTGCAGTGCTTCGTATATCAACGTGAACATGTAAACTTTCATGGGCATTCACTGTCAAGCCGGTCAGTAAACGGAAATACAAAAACCTCTAAACGTACCTCTCATAATTGCTCTAATATCTTTCAAAGAACCTCCATGTTGGTTTAACAGAGTAACCACACGGTGTTTTATCTGTATATCAAAGAATACAAATATTGTCTTAACCACCTATAACACTGTTTCTAACTACACTGCTCCCATTACAGAGCTCTATGGTCTAAAGGACGGATCTGATTTGTATTCGTTGGTTGGAGTTGTCAGGTAACGTTCACTTGACTGACACTACCACCAACTTTTGACAGGCAGTGTTGTGCAGGCAGCTGCGCAGTAAAGGTCCAATGAATACATGTAGTTTCATCTAGGTCACAACTGCGGTTCTTTGGACAGAAGAACAGAGGAAACAAAGATACAATTTGATATCAGAATGAATGTTAATACCGCACAGCACGAAAGAAAAATCAAAGTTTGGATCGTTTAGTGCGGCCACTTCGTTGCTCCACTTTCCTTGCGTAGTTTTGCCCTGTTCTAGACTGTGATACCGTAGTATATTTTGCGCGTTCCGTTGCCTTAATATGGTAGAATGGCGTCATAGCGGAATAATAAGAAACTTTTACCAGAGAGTCATATCTCACTTCCAACTTTTCGTTCTTTATAGTGTAACTACCATCTGCATAACATCTATTGATCAAAACTTTTGTAAATTTTTCCCCTTCCTTGTCAATGTTTGGCTGTTTCAAGAGCAAATTGTAAAATATTAGTGCCCAATGAAAATTTCGCTCATCTCAATCTCCTAATTTTTTTTCCCCAAAAAAGGAAAAAAGGAAACGCAAAATGTGTAGTCTTCTCCGCGTTAAAATCCCAACGAAACTCCAAAACTCCAAACAAACAAAACCAGATGACTCATTCTGCACAGTAATTACCGAGGAGACACCAGAACAGCACACTTCCATGATGATACAGTCAATTAGCTGCAGTGTGAACAGACCGGCGTCCAGTCTCCGCATGTAAAACTCGTCCTCTAACGCCTCGTCTACCTCTTCGCCTTCATCTTGAAGCTCCTGTTGAATGAAAATATACTGCTTAAGGCATGCAGTGGAAATACTATGAATCCAGTAATTAGGCGAACCCCATATTATGCGAAATAGCAATATATGGCAGAAACTAGCCCGCGTGACAAACTTCTCTTCTCATATTTATTGTAAATTGAGCCTGTAATCCGCTGACACCTTCATAAAGCGAGCGCAGACCCCAAAGATAGACGTTAGATAGATAGATAGACGTTTACCAAAAATACCTTAATAGCAGCTGGAAGCTGAATTGCAAAGGTGTACAAATTATGTAATAGAACTATACAATAAAATCAAACCTAAAAAGGAACTAATTTACATATACAATTATAATAAATGTTAGTTAAAATGTCTTGCGCTTGCTGGAATGAAAGTATCTTTGTAACAGAGTTGTTTTAAAGGAAACTCTAAATGGTCTGCGTCGTCGTAATTCCATAAGTTGATCTCGATTATCGAAAGGCAGTAAGTGGTATAAACAATCCAAAGGATTGGACACGATGTTGTTAAAGAATTTTAAGCAAAGGTCTTCTCTCCGATCCCTTAGGGTTTTCAGCCCTGCCATCCGATGCACTTCTCTATAATGATTATCATAACCGTATATAATTTTCAAGGCTCTCTTTTGGACACGCTCTAAACTTAAGCTCAAATAATTGGGGAGACTATAATGGTAAACCTGACATCCATAAAGATTGAATACAAGCAACATAAAAATGTGCTATTTCTGGTGATGGTACCTTAGCTCGCTTTAATTGAGTTAAAAAGTAATGGCGTTTAGCGGCCTTTTTAATCGTCTCAGTAACGTGAGTGTTCCACTTGAGGTTGTCTTGAAAATACACATCCAGTAATTTCACGACACTAACGGTACTAACCTTAGAGCCATTAATTTCTATCAGATCGTAGGAAGTGGGGGAGCACTTTTGTTGAATGAAACCTTTAACACGTGGATTGCTTAATAACAAAGTCAAGTTAGCTTTTTATCGATGACACTCTAAGATTTCATTTTTATCTTTCCAAAGTTCGATTCTAGAAATTAAGTATTAATGTATCGACCCCAAACGGCCAGATTCGGAAGCCGCGTGTACCAGCCTCTACCATACCTGTTTCTCTCTCTCTATCTTGGCATCACACTCTTGTATTTTGTTGTGGTATTTCATGTGAAGTTCCATTAATCTATCCACTTTGAGGTGATCATTTTCCACAAATTTCTGCACAAGACGGCTCTTTAAGTTCCCTGATAGGTTTCTAAACAACCACATTATTATTGAGCAAGTGTGCTCTGTTAAGAAAGAACAGAAAACACATCAAAGTCAGTAACGAGAAATGTTCTTCATTCGTCACAAGAACGCGCGACGAAGGAAAAAAAAACCTGAATTTCCCACGAGCAATAAAACCTCAGATCTCAGGACTTTGCGGTTGGCCATTTCACAACTAAAACTACAGAGACCTCGACAGTTACCTCGGCTATATACTAGGTTCATATTTGCTAAGATCAGACATTTTGATTGCGTGCTTTGTCTAACCAAGTTACACTGGTAAATCTTGAGCTCAGTTGTGGAGTAGAGAGATGAAGCGAGAATTACACTATCACGGTAATTACTTATGTTTGCACTGAGCAAGATTAGCAAACATTCTTCTAAGCATGATAAGTGAACAATCGATCGCGTGCGACGTCAAACACGACAGATTTTTATTCATGGCCGGAGTTCGCCAGGGAACTAGGCCGTCATTATCTGGCAAATTTGAAGTGTGGCCTATCATTTGAGAGGGAAGAGAAAAACTAAATATTAATTTTTTTTTTTCAGCAACGACATATTTTACTTGCTAAAGCCCACCTTCAGTTTCTTCTTCTGAGGACCCAACTTTCTTGCTGTTCTTGAAGGGCTACAAGACAAAACATCCGACAAAAGTCTTTCTCAAAGTACACTAGACATTTAAAGACTTTTCTTAATATTCTGGCTTGGATTTGACATGTAAAATATCATGCCCAGTGCTGTTGGTAGTCTCTGTAACACAGTCTATTTCTAAAATAATTGGTTTGATCCCTTAACTTAAGGGCATCTAAGAATATTCTTGACTAACCCTTCAGACAAGAAGTATATGAAAATCATGACACTCAAACAGGTACTTTTCCTCTTTGAACAGCAGATTTTCTAAATTTATTACCAACAGGATGATAGCGTGCGAGTAACTCCTTCTAATTGGCGCTTCGGCACGAGCCTTTTCTTCGCCTGCGATAAAATTATGAGGCCTTGGGCAACGCGAGTCGGCGAGAGGTCTGCTAAGAGTTCTAGCCTCTGCCAAACCTCTCCCCGTCTCGTATCCAATTTTCCAGCGGGCGGAGAAACGTGCGTCTTGCAGTGCTGATAGCGAGGGCCCGCTAACAAGCTAACAAGCCAACCAAACAGGGTCAAATTCCTGAATTGGACGAATTGTTTCTCACCTTCATAAATAACGGAAATAAGCTCCTAAGTCCCAGAAATTCAATAAACTTGCTGCAGTTTTCAGCTCCTTCGGCTCCCTGCATGGCGTAATCTAGCACCTTCAAGGAACTTCTCCGAGAGAGTTTCTTTTCTCTAGAAAAAAAAAACCGTTCAAAGCCATCATTAAAATAAGTTAAACTTCAATGGGAGAATTCAGTAAGAGACTTGATTTGAAGGCGATCAACGCAAACAAATGAAAGGAGAGAAAAGTAGAAAATATACCTTAACATGAGAATCATTAGCTGAAGTCCCTCTCCCTTCAAGAACAGATCTTTGTTTGCATTGTGCATCAAAGAGGAACACAGACAGTTGAAAAGATTTTCCATAAACTCTAGTTCATCTGATGAGGTAGGGTCGTATCGCTTGTACAGCTGCAATGATATCAAAGAATGATGAGCAGGAACTTCAATTGGTCAGTAACTAAGGAAGTTCTATTCTTGTGCAACAAGAAACAAAACACTGAACCTGATATTATATAGTGTTTAGATTTTGAGCCAGAAGAAAGTGTAATGCCTTTGATGGTTGGATAGTTAAAAATGCTGCCGTGGCCAATGATGTCAAGAACCTTGGTCAAAATCACCTTGTTGATGATCCAGGACTAAAGAGGTGAATCATCCTCAATACGAATAATGATGATGATAATAATAATAATGATAATTTTTATTTCACAAAATCAGTAAAAATACAGAATAAAAAACAAAATTAATACAAATTAAGGTATAAATATTAAAACAAGTTTAAAAAGTCTCTAGCTGAGAGAAAAGTCTTGAATCTCTTCGGTATTAACAACTGTTCTACAGAGTAGCAGAATTCATCTTATGTCTGCATTATTTTGCTTCAGCTTTATTCAGCAGAACAGCAAATAAATTGACGATACATGATCAACGTTCTTAATAATGATAATAAATTTTTCCTTAAAAATATTTCACAAATGATGATGATAATAATAATAATAATAATAATAATAATATGGGGCTTTTCAGGGCCAATACAAACATATTGTAAATAAACAATGTAGATACACATAGTGTTACCAGAGCTAATAGATACTTCAAAGTATTTGAAAAGTGGCTCTCAAACAGATTACTATAAACAGCATTAACATGATATTGAGCTACAAAGGGCTTACTGATAGACATTGTAGTAGTGTGTCAATTCCATTAAGTTCTCCAAGAAGTTGTCTGTTTTCTGGCAAGAAAACAACCTACTTTTAATACATAAATTTTCTATAAAACATTTACACCTGGAGACTTTGTTTCCATCTATACCAGTTAATGAAATATTAATCATTATGGATCATGTGCAAGTTCTCCCTTTAATAAAGAGCCCATAAAATTTTCTTTAATTTGCATGGCTCAGCAGAATACAAGGCACTTACTGACACTAAAGGTTATGGATCAGAAACAAAAAAAAAAAACTGGGGGTTCTTGTTCTCAATCCTTTATACCCTAACATCAGTATGCATATTCTCCATACTGTTTTCCATGCATTTCCTAAAGGTGCTGACAAGGAGAATTTATTTTATAGTCAAGAGTTTGGCGATCACTTGCTTTATTCTTGTGACCTGAATGTGAATCAGGGGGATGATGTTGTAAGGAGAAATAAGATGCTAGTCACTCTTGAGGCAGGGAACAGATGACACAATTGGTCTCAAGAAAATGATCATACACCGAATTGAAATACGGCGTCCAATTTGAATTGCCATTGTTCTGGACTCACTAGCCTCTCACACATGACATAATCCTTTTGTGTTTCCCCGTGAAGGCGAGGTTAGTAAGTCCACAACAATGGTAATTCAAATTGGAGGCCATATTTCGATTCGGTGAATACCTTTGTTTTTTAGAGTCTATGAGAATAAAATTTCAAATGGCACTCCACAAACCTACTTTTAAGTACTGTTTCTTCGGTATATAAAACTAATTTATTTATTTATTGTACATACAGTCTTGATTAGTTTCTTATGTAATTGTTTTAAGAGATAAAATAAGCTCTAATGATCAACATCAATCAGCTACTCAAGCAACCAATAATTTTTTCATTGATTATTACCTTCTGTACTTTGAAGAAGGATAGAGAGAATTTCACTGCAGTATAGTTTGTTTGCATCATAAGGAGGCTTTTGCTAAATAAATTCAGAAAAAAACAAAGACAAAAATAATCAGAATGATAGGATTTGACACCAACAGTGGCCAACTAGCCACAGACTAGTAGAAATTCAGTTTTGGATAATGGTTTTCGATTTCCATCAGCCAGTTTGGCTAGTAAACAAACTGAAGATGTCACTAGCCGTCACTTGGCTAGTAAGTTGAAAAGTTAATGTTAAGTCCTGAATGAGATTTACACTCATGTTTAATCAAAGTAAACTATGTGTAAGTTTACAATTGACCTAGGTAAGTTACCTTGAGTCGTCTTAGAAGCCATCCCAGCATTCCTTGCTCACCTGCCACCTGGCACACTGTAGGTCTGAGTTCTGTCATGTTCTCTATGATTCCTGATACAAGAAAAAGTTTAAAATTCAAACAAAACTGCTCCAAAACCTGCAAAGAAAGATTAGATTTATATTCAATGAAAGGAATTCAACAGAAGGTAAAAGTGATTACCGGTACAAATAAATAAAAAGGAAAGAAATTCTCAATGGATTAATTATAAAATTCTAAAATTCTGAGAGGATTATGTCTTCTAAATTGCAATGACACTAATTATAGTCATTTTGCCCAAACCTAATGTATTGTGTACACCATCACTATCTTCTTTGACATTTTCATCCAGTCTATCCAGATTTTGGGCTAAAAGGGCAACTACTTGCTCATCAAGCTAAAGAGAAAGCAGACACATCAGAATCCATTATTAGCAAGTACAATTTTGAAAAGCCCTCCCATCAAGACTGATAAATATCACATACACAAGATACTCACAAGTGCATCTATAAGAGCAGTAGCACCTTCTTCACTCTCATTCAGTGTGTCCACATCAGTCATTTCTTGAAGCAGGTCAATAATGGCTATGGAAACGTCTGTTGACAAAATCATTGTTATTGTCAAATTATACAAGGATCACTAGACTAGGTACGGAAATATTGAGCAAAAATTAGTTGGCTTTGTTATTTTTAGCCCATTTAGGGTACAGAAAGGCATTAGGAGAGGCCAAAATCCCCACCCTCACTGATCAGTGGGATCAGCTATCTTATAGGAAATGAAAAAAATATTGTGGTGCAAAATTACCCAGGTTAAAAAATTGTACCTAGTGAAAAATTAAATTTACCTTAGAAAAAAATTACCTGCAACATATATATGCAAAAGTTTACCATATCCATGCAGTCATATTGTGTACTTTTTATGCATTCTAGTTCAAATACAGCTGTAATTTACTTGCACACATGTAGACTGCCAGGTGTTGATTTCATTCTTTCATTCATTCATTCATGATACTAATTTAAAGTATGGTTGAACCTCTATTGTCTGGACTTGTGTTGTCCTGATAGCTGAGAGTCAGGATAATTGAAAATATGAATATAAATGACTTGTTCGTAGATAAAGGGGGCCAGAGAAGCAAGTCTGAATAATAAAAAAATCCGGATAATCGAGTTCTGAATAATCGAGGTTTGACTGTACCTTGAGAGTCACCATGGCCAAACAACTGGTGAATGGGACAGCCTTTTTAGTTTAAAACAGAATGTCGTTGATTCTTCACGTTTGGTAAGACGAACTTAATGCCCTTACTAATTTACAGTCACAAGATGAAAATTAAGCAATCTGTTTCATCAAATGCATTTTGCCATTGGTTTATGGTAGCTTCTCTGTAAACCTTTCATTCTTATTTGTGTAGTACCATTAGCATCTCAACATAATTATTTCTACACCTCACCTGAATTTTCATGACTCAGCAACCCTAGAATGGTTCCAACAGCATTAACATCAACAATGTTCTGATAAAGATGAGGAACTGTGGCTATAACATGTAACTTCTGAATTTCATCATTCAAATCAAGCTCTGAGTCCATAAACCTGTTAAAAATAATTCAACATGAACCTCCATAAACATGAACACCAACTGTATTAGAAAAACACAATGTCCCCTTTGTCATAAACCTTCTTGATGTCTCCCAAAACATCAAGCTGCATCATCTGCAGTTCCATCTAGTAACCCAACATTTTTTACTGACAATTTACCTGATTTACCCCTTTTACAGCAAAATATATCCAAATGCCAGGACCTTCATTCTAAATGTGAGGGACTTCCAGATAATCCATGAGAGTTGGAATACTTTAAGGGGATCACACAATCACACTGAATTTAATGAATGCACAACATTTTAATCATTTTTTAACAAAATAAGGAGCACAGTAAGTGACTTGTTCTATATTATTGCAGAAACAAATTATAACATAATGAACTTAGAACACATCATGTGATTGGTCAGTTCAGTTTCCAAGTAGATGCTTTATCAGGTTATAGTGCCCCCATGTGACCAGTTATGCCATAAAAGCAATAGAATATTTTTTTCACAGCTTTATACCATGATAAAGCCACTTTGGATGTTGGGAAATCACTCTGGATGGTTATAAATCACTTGCCTTTGGCTCATGATTTATAAGCTAATTCCTCGTGTTCTACCAACATCCCAAGTTTGTTCAATTAGAGTGGATGGAATCAAACCTACTTTTCTGGATTCTCTGGGTACTTTATCCTCATTTCTTGATTTTTCGTAACCTTCTTCTCAAAGAGCAGAAGCATCCTCTTCAGAGATCCTACATCAAGAGCCTCAACCTAAGTTTGAAAAAGAAAAAAAATTTATGCCACAGATGAAAAGAGGTCTATGTAAAGAGAAACACTGAATATCACTTTGCATTAACAAATTAAGACAAAAATCTATACAAATGTGTGGAGAGTTGGTTTCTGTTTAGGAAGTTCTCCACTTTTACTTTCATTAACATCAATACACTGACACTATCAAATTTCTAAATTTCTGATCCTTTAAATGGACAACACTAACCTCTGGTTCATTTTCAACCATTTCCAGTATTTTCAATCTTTCCTCCTCAGACAGACCAGAACCTGTTGGCCTGTCCACAGTCATTGGTCTTTTCTTGGTATTAATGGACACCTGATCCTCTTGATCTTCTTTTTTCCTCTTAGCTCCTCTCTCGGGCTGTCATAAACAAACAAAAAATTGAAACAATAAAACAATCTCATAAACCATTCAAATTAATTTCTTCTCAAGATATACCAGGCGGAGGGGGGGGGGAATTAATTCAATGCCAACCCTCTATATACATTGTTCTCAATAATTACTTGTGAACGCTCGATGGATTTCATTCTTAGTTCTAATTTCAATGCATAGCACATAGTCTAACTGAGGCTCATCGCAAAACAGTATCATACCAAAGACTGAGAAAAGAATCTTTCATCAGGGGATAAAATTCAACCAAAACACAAATCTTCAGGTATTTTACTTTTCAGTGGTATATAAACCGGAAAAGGTTTCGCGTACTCTTAAAACAACAGCAGGGAACTAATAATTTGCTTCTCGTACTTCCGTTTAATTCTGAGGTCAATACGTGGTGCAAGACGATCTCAATAACAGACATTGTATCATAAAATCCCACAAAACAACAATTCAAGTACCTGAAAAGCTAGTAACTCAGCAACATTCATTTTGATGGAACAAGAAAATAGGATTTTTCACCAAGATGTCTTCCCCCTACAAACAAGCATTTTCAAATTTCATGCGCAAATTTGACTACGCTTGCCTCCATGTCTTTTACCGCTGACCATGGGTTGAGGAAATAACACAAGTAACAACATGTCGGCGTCGGCGCATTCATCGTCTCAAGTCATTCCAACTCAACCGAGGCTTCATGGTGCCTGTATTCTTCCCGGACACATTCTTGTCAATGAAAGATTTCATGGGAGTGAAGTTGTGAAAACCCTTCAAGGTAACGATTTAAATGTTTGTTTAGTTTATATGAATGGTTCGCGGGAATTTCGCGCCAAAATTGAAAAATTTTAAAACAAGATGGATGAAATTCATGTCTGCTGATGTTTCGTATCCCTTTTTTAGTTTGACCGGGGCTTAACTTACATTGGCAGAGTTATGATGTGTTAGAGATCAGCGCATTATAGAATCAGAAAGAAAGTTGAAAGAAAGTTTTAAATGAATTTTTTTCACATGGACATGTTTGACTGATTTTTTTGAATGATAATTTCATATTAACTGCTTGGATGTAAATGGCTAATAGACTAGTCTTTTGATTTTGGGGATGATTAAGAAATTAGTCACTGATTAACTTTTTGAAATATGCAAACAATCAACTTATGGGTCATCTTACTTACTGACCCACTTCATGACAGAATGAAATTGCTGGTAGAATTACAGATTTACTGCCTACCTGCTTGCTTACCTGCCTGCCTGGATGACTGCCTGCCTAGGTGACTGACTGACTCACTGATTACCTGACTGACTGTATAAATTAACTGACTGCCTGGCTGGTTAGCTGATTGTCTGACAAACTAATTGACTGGCTGGCTGATGGCTGACTAAATAATAACTTTCACACTGACAGACTGTGCAATGGACTGATTGATTGACTGACTGCCTGGCTAACTAACTTTCTACCAATCTGGTTGTCTGGCTGATTGAACAATTGACTGACCTTTTGGGTGGCTGACTTACTGACTTACTACGTGACTGTTAGTGACTGATCGACACATTAACTGAGTGACTGGCTGACTGACTGATGGACTGACTGAATGATAACTTGTAGGCTGACCAACTACTAGAGAAAACAACTTATTGATCAGCTGAATGACCAGACCTTGAACTGATTTGTTGACAGAAAATCATGTGAATATTCAAATGGATGACTGCATGGGAGTGGTCGATTTCAACCCATCTTCAGATGTTGGTGTGGTGTATCTCTCTGAGGCAGATTTAGTGGGTGGATACACTTACAAAGGGAAACTGCTCAAATTCGCAAAGGTAGAACAGTATTATTATTATTTAATATTGTCTGATTATTTTATTCAGGATATCAATTAGACAGAATGCTATTAATTTCACAAAATAAAATACTATTTCTTTGACTTTCAGGCATCATTCAGAAAAGTTATAATTGCTGAAAAGACATCACTTAGCTCCCAGTACTTTTATGAACTTCAGAAGTTCATTGTAATCGAGAGAGGGCTGGTACTTCTTCCCATAGCATCACCTGTTGAAGCTGGTAGAATCTTAGCTCAAATGGTACGTTATTAGGAGGGGTGGGGGGGGGTAAGGTTGGGTCAGGGAGAGGTTGAAGTTATTCTAAAAAAATTGCAATACCCTTTGTTTGTCTTGGTAATCACAATGTTTGATGTACACAGTATCCTTAACTGAAATAACAGTTTAAGTGTTAATTTTAACACTGTTGGTGACTGGAGATGACTTTTCCTTTAATTTGTAAAAGCAACAGCTACTATGATGAAAAATAAGATTCTGAAAACTATGTGCTTTAATTTTCTAAAAGTACAAAACTTCACTACAGGCTTTGTTGGAAAGCAAACCCCAAAGCAACCCTTACCGCATTAGGATGAAACCGCAACCCACAGATCAAGCCGTATTCACAACACTACAGAATGTACCAGGAGTAGGACAGAAAAAAGCCACGGCCTTATTGTCCAAATTCAACAGTAGGTATTTTCTAGCTCCTCAAGGTTATAAAAAAATTCTTCAAACCTGCTCTTCTTAATATGCCCAATTTGGGAATAATTCAGGAGAAGAAAGTTACATGGTTACTGTAATTATGGTAAGTTTGAGCATGATGTGTATGGCAACAGCAAAAACAGTCTCTAATTTTACTCAATTTTCCTGTGATCCTCAAATTAGCCTGAGTAAAAAACTAAAAAAAAAATCTTGTTCACAGCTGGTACATGTATTTTCTCTTTCATGCATATATGTTGAGAGCAGATGGCATTTTGTTCAATTTTTGCTATGTTTGCTTTGTGGTAAATGTCATGCCTAACTTCTCTATTATCTTGAAATAGTAAAAATATTCTTTTATCCCAAATTAAAAAACACCTTTCTGGTAGGGCTAAACATTATAAATAATATACTCATTGTACACTTCTCGGAAAGACCACTTCATGTTGCTTTTCAATGCACATAAACTTCTTCATTTTGTGTTTTAGGTATTGAACAGATCAGTAAAACATCAGTTGCTGTAAGTTATATGTCTTGATTATTACTTATTTTGATTTTCATGTTTCTTGAAAACTTTGTTGTGAAACTCTGATTGCTGAGGCACATCCAGGTTTGGTTTAGGTGGTTTGGCTGAACTCCCTACAATGAAATGAAAAACATTTTGACATGTGCAGTTTCTGATAAGTTTAGTGAACATGGTTAATGTTTAAAAAAGCTCAAAACAGAGAAACAACCCAGAAATCACCTTTTCAAGGATCTAAATTTCAATGTTTTCTGGAAAAAGCATGCCCCCCCTGACATCCTTGGATAGTCCACTTTCAGCATGTGTTTATCAAAACCATCCTTCACTAAATCCAGGAACTACCCAAGGAGTGGGGCAGATACAAAAATTTTTTTTTAAGTATGTTATGTCTGACTGGGGGAGTCTATCCTGTGGCAGTTTCTGATCATAATATATGATACCATTCATTTTGAGATATTAATGTATTGTGTATGTTTGTTTCAGTCTCTTGCTACTGTAGTGGGTAATGCAAATGCACAACAAATATAAGACTTTTTTCAGCTGCAAATGCAAGGAAACAATAGAAGTAGCGTAATGTAGGTTTCTGAATAGAACCAGATCTAAAGGAGTGCTGAAGAATTTTGTGCCAGTAAATATAATCAGATACAATGAATATATTGCATAAATAGTGCTATCTACTGCGAAGGATCCTGCATCATACGTAGTAAATATAATGATTATTCTTGTGTGATCAGTCTTCTTTTTCTCATAAAAATTATCACAACCTGGTTACCCAAGACAAAATAGACTTATTTGCATACAGTAAGTTCATTCATAGTTTACAATTGTGGGAAAGAAAAAAACACTTCAATATAGCAGGCTTCAAAGGTTCAAATGCTTCTCAAACAATCATATTAACAATTTTCCAAAGAAAAAACTCAATTTTTTTTAAAAATAAATAGAGTTAACAGTAGTGTATGTTTGTAACCCTGTTATAATGAATATTCCTTACATGTAAGTTTGAAAAATATAGTAAAGATTAGGAGGACAATTTCATTGGAGAAATATCACATTTTTTAAATAAATTAACTAAAACTAAAATTATTGCTGCAACATTATTTATTATAAAAATAGCTGAAATGCTAACTGTACTCTCATTGGTTGATGGTTGAGTTAAGATGAGGGTAGGTAAGTTCAAAACATGGTGATGTTTGGGTTTGTAGATATTTTTGAGTAAATTGGTATTTTATAAAAGCAATGGAAGACCTTATGTGTCTCTGTAGCCTTATCTAAACACTCAGGGAGGCTGAGAGAATTCCTCTACATTAACCAAAGCCTCAACAGTGTCTCATGTTTCAAGGGC